CGGACTAGATGATCTACTCAGGTCCCTTCCGACCCTAGAAACTATGAAACTATAATATTCTCTTTTCAGATGTTTGCCTTAAAAATTCTGTAATTACAACTTAGTCATCAAGAAAGCCAATTTCCTTACTCAGAGCTATAATGGCTCCACAGTGCTAATGTAGATAAGAAAACAAGCTATTTGCCAGTTAAGCAATTGAAATCTCAATATTTACAAGCAGCAAAACTTCAGTAAGCATAACATCTTACAGCCTATCTTCCTAACACGCAACTATTTTAAGGCAAGAATACAAACCTCTCATGCTTACCTCATCACTATGACAGAACATAGGTGCAAAAAAATTCTCTAAGAGGGAAAGAACATGTTCATATGCTTCAAAAAGGCATCGCATAGTTTGAAGTTTCACAACATCTACATATGGACCTTCAGCAACTACAGAAAAATTATTACAAAATTATGGTGAATATTAAAATCGACTCTGCCTGCATTTCACGCATCTCCCCCCACACGCTGATATTTCCTAAATTAATCAATAGAAATCAATGCACTGAGCACCCAAAAATTTTGTAACTAAGATGCTTGCTGAAAATGAGTTTCAAATACACAGTGTAACAAAGATTATGCAGATAAATTTCAATGAAGAAAAACAGTATACACATCCATGATCATTGGTTTAAGTGTGATTTTTCTGCTATAATAAAATTAAAAAAGTTATTCATGATTTTGATTAATTAAGATTAATTTTTTAAATGACAGAATACATTATGGAATTATAGTAAAATTAAGTGTTACTTTAAGTCTGGAACTTACTTCTTTGAATCTCTTCCACAATAAAAGGGTCAAATCTAATTTTATCAACACTTTCTTCCAAACAGTACGTTTCGTAGATTTTCTGTACTTCTTCATGAATAGACTTCTTTTCAGCATTTGTTAGCTCTGGTCTTAAAATTTTATCATTGAATTCCTCTGCAAATCAGGGGAAAAATGTATTTCTTAATTAAACTAACTAATACAAAAGACTGTACCTTGCAGGGGCCATGTAGCTTAACTCATACACCATACTAATAGGTATGACTTTTCATAAAATCTTCACTACATGAAAAAACTTAAGATGATGAGACCCATAAATCTAATGAAGTAGGTTAAGTGGTTTATACTTCCATAAAATTAGCCCCTAAAATATGAGCTGCAATTCAAATCAGTTATTCCATGAGTGTACAGCAGGGGTGGGCAAAATACCCAGCCAGGGACCATGTGGCTGTTCCTGCCCATGCCAGAACGGGAAGCTCAGGTAAGAGCAGGTCGGGAGCATGCTGGTCCCCTGTCTGGCCACCAGGCTGGGGCGGGGGGCTGGGAGCGAGGGGGCATGTGGGAGCCAGCGCTGGCAGGACCCAGAGCGGGGTGGCTCCCCTCTCTCCCTGCTGGGGCAGCCCGGCCCAGCTTCTTACAGCCAAGCCTGCTCTGGGCCCTGCGGCACTGCCTGGCTATCGCTGGCTCCCAACAACCTTGTCTGGTCCCAGGGGCAGTACAGGGGCCACCTGGGGCTGCTGGGGGTGGCATGACCTGGCGGGGACCTTTCATCCTGCGCCTCAGGCTTAGGGCAGCAACAGCCTGGCTGCTCCCCACAGGAGGCTACAGTGGGTGCTGCTGCCCCAGGGACAAGGCCTGGACCCCCTTGCCCCGCTGGGGCCCAGCAGCAGCTCGCTCCCTGGCCCCAGGACGGGTGGGGAGGCTGCACCAGGAGCTTGATTAAAAATACAAGCTTAACTGGGCAATCACTTGTTTTCTTGTAGTACAGAAAAGGCCACTGGGCCTGAAATGGATTAGAGTTTAGGCAAATTTCTCCAATAGAACCAATTAAGATTTCCCTGCAGTATATTTAAAATGCAGTATAAACAAGTTATACTGCATATAAAAGTTGTATGTAGTATAACCTATCACATTTCATCACGATGTAGGTACAGCGTAAGAACAGCACATGGAAAGTAACAAGAGCTACAAGCATTCACTTTGAGACAAAGGCATTTTTGCTATTAAGTACAACCACACAGGGCACAGTTCAATATTCTTACCTACAGTTAGGCAAAATTGCAGCACATGTACTGCTCCTTCCTGTTTGAGGAAGTTCATGAAACGAAAAAGGAGATCTTGCTCTTCTCTGATCTCCTTCAGTTCCAACTTCAGGACCTTATTATGGAGGGTAGATATCACGGTTAGTTTCCAAAGAAAGCTTGAGGAAATATTTAATACAGAGGTTCCCAAATTTTCTTATTGTATATCTGGGGTCTGGACTCGATCTTCCAAGGTCCCTTCCACCCTTAATGTCTATGAATTAATGTCTGGAAGCTGAAATGTCTATGAATCCACTTCCAAATTTACCAACTGCCCACATAGTTTCATAGTCTGTAGGGTCGGAAGGGACCTGAGCAGATCATCAAGTCCGACCCCCAGCCAAGGCAGGAAAGAGTACTGGGGTCAAGTGGCCCTAGCAAGGTGTTCATCTAGCCTCCTCTTAAAGATCCCCAGGCTAGGAGCCAGCACCACTTCTCTCGGAAGTTGGTTCCAGATCCTAGCCACCCTGACCGTGAAGTAGCGCCTCCTGATATCTAGCCTAAATCTACCCTCTGCCAGCTTATGAATGTTATTTCTAGTCACTCCTGGTAGTGCTCGGGGGAACAGAGACTCCTCCAATGCCTGTTGGTCCCCCTGACTAGTTTGTAAACAGCCACTAGATATATACCCCTAACAGCATACATTTTATATTTTAACCCCTTAAATGCCAATTATTATAATGAAAATTGAAATCTGCCATTACACAATTTCTCCTGTGTACCACAGAGATGTCTTGCATACCCCCAGGGGTATGCATACCACATTTTTGGGATCCCCTGGTCTAACAGAAGTAATAAAAAAGATAAAGTAGTGTGTATAATACTTATCCACAGGCTGATATACAAGGTAAATGTTTTCTTCACTTACAGAGGTTTTTTTATTTCGAGGCTCTGCAAATTTTTGCAGAAATGGAACCAGTGAAGAAGCAGGTTCAGTTGCTTTCTCTGGCTGTAGAAAAAGAGCAGTTCAACTGAGTAAGATAACTGACACATGCAAATTAAAAATAAGTTATCTGAATATATCAGCACTTACTGGACTATCATCAATGAAGATGAGAAGCAAATGGTTGACCGTATTCTAAGAAAATACAAAAATACATATTACTGTAGTTCTACTGCCATGCTATTCCCAAGTTTCTGGTAAAGTTTTTGTAGATCTTCAAAGCTTACAACAGCAAAACACAAAAGCAGTATTAAATAATGGCTCTCACAAACAACAGCAAAAACACAAGAGCAGTATTAAAGAATGGCTCTCACAACCTTTATTTTAATGACTGCATCTGAATGATCTCAGTACCCAAGATCCAAAGGCAGGGAATTTATATAAGACGACATTTCCAGAAACAAGACCAACAGATAAAAACTGTACTGGCATTTTACACTAATGCAGAGCAGGTAATTCGTGACTTCTACCACATACACCATTCCTTGCTAGCAATCACACAGTATTCACACAGGTGTGAAGCATTCCTCCCCTCGTAGGAAGGGAGGAAGGGAGTTGGGCAGGGCTGGGGCACCAGCAGGGAGTAGAATGGAGCCGTGGGTGGCTCAGCTCCCTGGCAACACACCCCCTGCATGCACAGTAGCTTTGAGGGGTGCAACCCCACACCACTGCCTTCACTGACCACCCCCACCCTGTGCACAGTTCGGGGGTCTGCCCCTCCAGGAGTGCATACCATGCCAGGGAGATGGCCCCACCCCATGTCCAAGCCTGCAGCAGGCAGAACAGGTGGGCAGCTAGGCTCTGCTGCACTGCAGCAGCTGCTGCCTGGGGAAGGGAACTGCAGATCCAGGTCCCTGGACCCGTAGCCCTGGGGCCCCCCCTCCAGCAGGGCCAGGAGGCTGTGGGGGAAAAGTGAGCATCTGTGTTCTTAAAACAAGAAATGAGTCTGTCTTTTACTGGAATCAGCAGGTTAATAGAATCAAAAATCACCATTTCCCGAAGTGATTCCAATAAGAATTACTCATTCACCAAAATCTCACCGGATCAGCTATGAAGTCCATGGAAGGAAGAAAAACAGAACCAGACAATATCTCTCTTATGAGCAATGTCAGGGATCTAAAAAAAAAAAAAAAAGGATTATGTAATGACCAGTGATTAGCAGAGTACTGAATAATCTACAATGGGTACATTTACTACTATTAAACAAGGAAATATGTTTTAAAGAGATGTTATTTTTTAATACATTGCAGCACATTACATATATTCCATCTTGGGATGTTTAAACTAAGGGTCAACGTGATCTTTGGATGTATAAACATGGAAACAGTGAATGAGTAAAGTGTTTTTATCGCTGTACTATTTTAACAATACCAGAATGATATAATCATGTGAGATATCCACATTTTAAAAAGAATGTGGGGGGAAAAATTAGAGCAGATGCACAAGAGAAAAAAGTAGACTAAAGAAAGCAGAGTGTGAGTTTAAGAAAGCAATATGTTGAGCTTCTCAAAGAAGGCTGAGAGGTGTCTTGATTATAGCATGCAAAATAACTTCACAGGAGAAATACACAGGGTTCAAAAGGCCCTTGTAATTCAGTAGAGAAAGGCATAATAGAAAACACTGGCTGGAAGCCAAACTAATCCTAATTGAAAAATAATGCATCATTTTAGAAGTGACTTCCGTTCATTACTGGAGCAAGCCAGCAAAGGAAGCTGTTGATTCTCTATGCCTTGAGAGTTTCCAAATCAAAACTAGATGCGTTTAACTAAAACGTATCTTACAGTAACGCAACAGAGCAGTGAACTGTGCAAAAACTGAAACAGCTTACATTTTACAGGAGATGAAACTACAATATAACGGTCCCTCTGGTCTACAATTCAACAGTTGGAAGGTAAGGGGTAAATGCCAAACACAGTAGTTCATCACTTAACTTACAAACACTTCTCCTTAAGGGTTCTGCTAATCTTTGGAAGTCAGTAATTTCAACATGCAGATTGGCTTGTTTTCAATGCCCTAAATGTTTGCTCCTTATATGTAGATAATTTATTTTATTTGCTAGAAATCTGGATCTATACATGCAACTGCCTAACCTTAGATTGTGCTAATTTACTACACATATAGATAAAGGTCCTATGGATCTGTGAACTCCTTCAGCTAAGACCCATCCTGTCCATTTTCCCTGCGAGTCCATTCCACTCCACACAGTTATGGCACTGTCCTAGAATGTGGTACTGAAGATAAAAAAAAAGTTAAAAGGGGATTGTGCAGCAGACATTTGCCAGTATACGTCTTTGATTAATTCATACCCCTCTTACAACGGATGGGCTGTCTGTTTGGTAAGGTTAACTGGAGAAATAAGGCCAGGTTTCAGGAGGGAGGTTGGTGGCACACTTGGACTGCTGGGTTGCTACAAGACAAAAAACACCCAAAACATTTACCCAAACTTGCTATGCCAATATTATGTTCCTAACAGTATAAATGAATACTGATCTCAGTGGATTTTACAAAAAAGTGCGCAGAGAAGATTTAGGATTTCAGTGCTGCCACCTGCCTACCAGAACACAAATTATTCATGCTTCTCAAGCTTCCCTCACACACCACTACTTCAACTTCCTACTTTTTAACACCCCCTAAAATGTTCAGCTTTGAAAAATCAAAACTGTGGAGAAATGAAAAAGGAAATTCATTTTTTGATCTCACTAATGGAAATGCCCATCTAGAAAAGCAATTATATCCTTTTGTTTTTAATAAGACATCAGTTAATAAGGCACCAGTTGTCTGAGTGTATGTCCAAACAAACCTACGTTTTGAGAAACCACTAGTTTTCTTTGCTGTTTCCCAAACTGGAATCATCATTCATATACCTGATTATACTGAAACAGAATTATCCAGGCCAAATAAGTAACAAAGTGTTGCTCTCTACATCAAGGATCAGTTCACTTCCCTGCAAATTGAGTTTTCTAACCAGGAAGGGTGTCTTGAGGCCCTCTGGATCAAAACACAGGGAGAACATGGGGAGGGTGACATACTTATAGGAGTCTACTATAGACTTCCCCACCAAGAGGAAGAACTAGATCAGGAATTCAATAGGGAACTGCTTGAGGCCACGCACTCCCGATGCACGATCATCATGGGGGGCTTCAACTTCCCTGATATCTCTCTTGGGATGAGCACAAAGCCAAATTTGACAGGTCGCGCAGCTTTCTCACTTGCACTGATGACCTCTACCTAACACAGGAGGTCTATGGGCCAACTAAGGGAGAGGCATTGCTTGATCTGATCCTGGCCGAAGGGGAGGACCTGGCGAGCAGTCCAGTGCGCGAGGAGAAACTTGGTGACAGCGACCGTGATTTGGTGACTGTCTCAGTTCACCGAAGAGCAGGCAGATCCCTCAGTAAAACAGAAATCCTTAACTTTGGGAAGGCTGACTTTTGCAAACTCAGAGATTTGGTAAATCAGGCAATTAGAGGCCATTACCCCCTAGATAAGGGAGTACATGAGAAATGATCATCTCTCAAAAACATAATCCTTGAGGCACAGGGGAAAGCCATACAATCTCACAGGAAATATAATCAACGGCAAGGAAGCCCCCCTTGGATGAACAAGGAACTGTTGGAGCTCATTAAATTCAAAAGAGAAGCCTACTCCAGTTGGAAAACGGGAAGCATCACCAAAGAAAACTACTCAGCACTTGCCTGCACCTGTACGGAGTGGCCAAGGCACAAACCAAATTCAGGCTAGCTACGGGAATCAAAAACAACAAAAAGTCCATCTTCAGATATGTGAGAAATTGAAAAAAGAACAAAGATAGCATAGGGCCCCTGTGAGATCAAACAGGGCAGCTGACATCTGATATCCAAGAAAGGGCCAATCTCCTAAATGACTTTTTCACATTGGTTTTTCACCTTCCCAAGGGGAACACACTGTCAGAAAGGATATGAACCAGCCTGGGAGCAGATGGCAGGCCCAAAATTGATGTGGACCAGGTGGGGGAATGCCTTGAGAAACTTAACATTCACAAGTCTGCGGGCCCAGACAGAATGCACAAGAGTCTTGAAGGAGCTGGCAGACACCATTGCATCCTCCTTGGCAAAAGATATTTGAAAATTCGTGGCGCTTGGGTGAGGTCTTGGAAGACTGGAAAAGAGCCAACATGGTCCCCATCTTCAAAGAAAGGGAGGAGGAATGACCTGGAGAATTATAGACCAATCAGTCTGATGTCCATCCCTGGAAAAATCCTGGAGAAAATTGTCAAGGGATCCATCTACACCAGACTAACAGAAGGCAAGCTTCTGAAGGCCAGCCAACATAGCTTTGTGACTGGCAGGTCTTGCCTGACCAATGTCATCTCCTTCTATGACCAGGAGACAAACCCTGGACAAGGGAGATGACACAGATGTCATATCTGGATTTCAAAAGCCTTTGACCTAGATCCCCACAATGTCCTCATGGCTAAGCTGAGGAACTGTGGCTTGATCATCTTATGGTCCTAATGGCTAGGCAACCGGCTACTTCAGACCCAAAGAGTACTAGTTGATGGGAGCAAATCAACATGGTGCAGTGTGACCGGTGCAGTTCCTCAGGGCTTGGTACTTGGGCCGGTACTTTAACATCTTCGTTAACGATCTGCAGTGGGGAGTCAGATGCAACTAGCAAAGTTCATGGATTTCACCAAATTATGGGGGCAGGCAGTCATACTGCAGGACAGGCTGGGGATACAGACCAACTTGGACATGCTCTCAAGGTGGGCTGACCAAAACCTGATGGACTTCAATGCAAAGAAGTGTAAGGTGCTGCACCTTGGTAGGAAGAACCCTCAACATACTTACAAGCCCGCCAGTGCTTTGCTTGCTACGACTATGGGAGTCTACTACATAGCACTTGCTAGGACGGTGGGAGTCTACTACAGACCTCCCAACCAGGGAGAAGAGCTTGACCAGGAATTCTTGGGTCAGCTCACAGAGGTAGTGAAGGCTAAGGATGTGGTAGTCATGGGGGACCTGAACTTCCTGGACATCTGCTGGGAAGAGCAGTCAGCCAGGTCTGACCGTTCACATAGGTTCTTAGACAGAGTGCAGGACCTCCATCTAACCCAGGAGGTGCACAGCCCCACCAGGGGAGACGCCTTGTTGGACCTAGTGCTGGCCATGGGTGATGACCTGGTGAGGGGGCTGCGGGTGCTCGACCACCTGGGCGACAGCGATCATCGCCTGCTGGAATTCACCATCCAGCGCAAGGTGGCAAAGGCATGCAGTAAGGCAGCGGCCCTAGATTTTAGGAGGGCAAACCTCAACAAGCTAAGGAGGATAGTTGGAGAAGCGCCGAGGTCCCGGAGGGAAGGGGAGCCAGGTGTCCGAGGGAAGTGGTCGCTCCTTAAGGAGACAATCCTCTAATCCCAAAGGAAGGTAATCCCAACGAGGATCAAAGGGAGCAGGAG